TTATATTATATTATATTTTTAATAATACTCCTGTGCTCCTTCCTTGGATGATGTCCATATAATATATTGCATTGTACTATTATATTATATTATATTCATAATGCTCACTTCCTCCTTACTTGGACGTTGTCTATATAAAATATTATGTTGTATTATATTATATTATCGTTGTAATCGTACTCACTTCCTCCTTCCCTGGACGATGTCCATATAGTCCTCGGACCGGGCGTAATAGCCTTCGGCGCTGAGGGCCCCCCAGAAGTTGGACCACAGCTTCCCGATGCGGCTGACCAGCGGAGCCAGGACAAACTTGTTCTGCTGGATCAGGATCCGTAAGGCGTCCGGGTTCTCGAGCACCACTTCGGCGTCCAAGCTGAAGAAATACTCACAGCGGGGGTCCTGCCGGCACCGGTCCCTGAGGGGCAACGCCACCCATGGGTCAAGCCTGAAAGGGGTGCCAATACTTGCAGCCCCCGGTGCCATAGACTTACATGGCCATGTCCCGAGCCTCGGCGCTGTCCAGGCGGTCATCCGGCCCGAGGGCTTCGACCGAGAGGTATTCCCCGCTGTGTCCATCCAGGAAGGCGGTCACTTGGGAGACATGGTGCTCCTCCTACAAAGAGAGAGAAATGCCTATCCTATTATACTATTATTATATATTATATTATCGGTATTCTATTATTTATTATTATATAATAATAAATTATATTATATTATTATATTATATTATATTATTATATTATATTACATTATTAGGAGAATATATTACATTAGTATAGTATTAGTATTCTATTTATTATTATTATTATTATTACGATATTATTAGGATCCTTTTGTTATCCTATTATTTATTATTATCATATTACATATTATATTATATTAGTATTCTATTATTTGTTATGTTTATATTATCCATCCTATTCTATAATGAGTATTCTATCAAGTGCTATGCTATTATTTACTATATATTATATTAGTATTAGTATTCTATTGGTATCCTAGTCTTTATTATTATTATTATTATTATTATTATTATTATTATTATTATATTTGTTGTTATATTATGAGTATTCTATGAAGTGCTATTCTATTATTTATTTTATTATATATTATTAGTATATTAAGGGCCATCCTGACAGTCATTATATTATATAATATTATTAGCATGCTATTATTTATTATATATATTATATTACATTATATATTTGTATCCTTATAAAACTATCCTTTTATTTATGATTATATATTTATGATTATATTATATATTATATTATTAGCATGCTATTTAGTCTTATTATTTATTATATATTCTATTATATATTATTAGCATATTAAATGGTATCATGCAATTTGTTATATTATACAATATTATTATTAGCATGCTATCATTTACTATATATTATATATATAATTATCCTATGAAATGCTATCCTATTATTATTATATATTATTAGCATGAAATTTAGTGAAATCTTATTATTTATTATATATTCTATTATTTACTATATATTATATTATATATTATCCTATTAAATGCTATCCTATTATTATATTTTATTATTATATGTTATTAGCATGCTATTTAGTGCATAAATCTTATTATTTATGCACTAAATGCTATCCTGCTATTTGTTATATTGTATAATATTTGTATTGGCATGCTATTATTTACTATATATTATATTATATATTATTATCCTATTAAATGCTATCCTATTATTATTATTATTATTATATAATTATTATATATTATTAGCATGCTATTTACTGCAGTATTATTTATTATATATTCTATTATATACTTTTAGTATATTAAGTGCTATCCTGCTATTTGTTACATTATATATTATTATTAGCATGCTATTATTTACTATATATTCTATTATATATTATTATCCTATTAAATGCTATCTTATTATTATTATATATTATTATATATTATTAGCATGCTATTTAGTGCAATCTTATTATTTATTCTATATTCTATTATATATTATTAGTATATTAAGTGCTATCCCAATATTTGTTATATTATACAATATTATTATTAGAATGCTATTATTTACTATATATTATTAGTATCCTATTAAATGCTATCCTATTATTATATATTTTCATTATTATTATATTATATATTATTAACATGCTATTACTATGCCATTACTGTCAGTGCTATCCTATTATTAGTTATTATAGACTATATTATTAGTATGCTATACCTATCCTATTATTTATTATTAGATTATATATTGTATTATTAGCATGCTATTAAGTGCTATCCTATTATTAATTACTACATAGTATATTATTAGTGTGCTATTAAGTGCTATCCTATTATTATATTAAATTATTATATATTTTATATTATATTATTAGTATCCTAATAATTATTACTATTATTCTATAATACGCTATAATGGCTCACCCTGTTGTGGACGAAGAGCCGGAGGCGTCCCTTTGGGTATCGCAGCCTCTGCAGCCGTTGGAAGAACTGGGAGAGGAAGGGAGTGGGCTGCTCAATGAAGACCCCCAGGAGGACCACAGGAAAGACTTCCTCCTGCAAGACAAGCCAAGGAGAATGCACCATGACAACCGCCATCTTTGCAAATGACTGTCCCATTTCAATGACCATCGCATTGCAATAACCGTTGGATTGCAATGACCGTTGAATTACAATATTGGATTGCAATGACCGAGCAGCCATTTTAAAGCAGTCAGTCTGTGGTCGGTTAAAGAAAGACACATCTTTTTAAAGGAACTAAGTTTGAGACCTGTTTGTCAGAAGAATTAGACCTCCTAAGAGTTATTTAAGAACTGTTATGAATGTAACCATTGAAGATCTGTACCTCTAAGAGAAAGGAAACGTTGAAACCATCAAGCTTCTGTACCTCAATAAACTTGTTACAGTTTCTTTTTTAAAGTCAAGCCTATGTTACCATTCTTTTCCAAGTCAAGACGCGCTACATTTTGAAGAAATGGACATTACAAGCTATTGGTTGTGTCATCAATTTAATAAGCCCTCACGAAGAAATGGCTCCTTTTACCAACTCTCTACATATTGATAGTAGTTATATTTATACATCCTTACAATTTGGTGGCATCATTACAAATTAGTGGCCAAGCCTTTACAATTAGTGGTAGTAATATACGGGCTCCTTCACACCTTTGAATTGCAATGACCGTTTGGCTGCAATGACCGTTGGACTGCAATGACCATTGGATGGCAATGACCGTTGAATTGCAATGACCATCGGATTGCAATGACCGTTGGATTGCAATTACCGTTTGACTGCAATGACCATTGAGTTGAAATGACCGTTGGATTGCAATGACCATTGAATTGAAATGACCGTTGGATTGCAATGACCATTGAATTGAAATGCCCGTTGGATTGCAATGATTGTTGGACTGCAATGACCGTTGGACTGCAATGACCGTTTGGCTGCAATGACCGTTGGACTGCAATTACCGTTTGACTGCAATGACCATTGAATTGAAATGACCGTTGGATTGCAATGACGGTTGGATTGCAATTACCGTTGGACTGCAATGACCATTGAATTGAAATGACCGTTGGATTGCAATGACCGTTTGACAGCAATGACCGTTTGACTGCAATGACCGTTTGACAGCAATGACCGTTTGACTGCAATGACCGTTTGACTGCAATGACCATTGGATTGCAACGACCGTTGAATTGCAATGACCTTTGAATTGCAATGACAGTTGAATTATAATATTGGATTGCAATGACCATTGAAATGACTGTTTGACTGCAGTGACCGTTGGATTGCAATTACCATTGGATTTCAATGACCATTGAATGGCAGTGACCATTGGATTAAAATGACCATTTGACTGCAATGACCGCTGGATTGCAATGACTATTGAATTGTAATGACCACTGAATTACAATATTGGAGTGCAATGGCCACTGGATTACAATGACCATTGGATTGCAATTACTATTGGATTGAAATGACCACCAGATTGCAATGACCATCACAATGCAATCTATATATATAAATTTCCTCCTGGCGTCGTATGAGGAAACAAAACTCAAAAACCCCCCAACGAAATGCCACCAAACTTCCCATGCCCCAAGGGCAACCAACAAGGTACAAACTAATCCACTCAGAAATCAAAAACACACAACAACAACCACAATAAACGACAAAGCAACTGAGCATGCGCACTGGCGCAAACTCCCTGGCGCGGACACACATGGCCCCTCACCCTCCCCCCCGGCGCGGCACACACACGCGCGCGCGCACGGCCCCTCCCCCCGGCGCGGCACACACACACACACGCGTGCCCCCTCTCCCACCCGGCGCGGCACACACGCGCGCGCACCCCCAACCCCCCCCGGCGCGGCACACACGCGCGCGCACGCGCCCCCTCTCCCCCCTCCGGCGCGGAACACACACACATGCACACACACGCGCGCACGCACCCCCTCTCCCCCCTCCGGCGCAGCACACACGCACACATGCGCACGCGTGCCCCCTCACACCCCCCGGCGCGGCACACGCGCGCGCGCGCCCCCTCTCCCCCCTCCGGTGCGGCACACGCACGCACGCGCGCCCGCGCGCCCCCTCACTCCCCTGGCGCGGCACACACGCGCGCGTGTGCGCCCCCTCTCCCCCCCGCGCGGCACACACGCGCGCGCGCGCCCCCATCCCCCCTCCCCTCCTCACGTTACCTCCAAGCCACGCCCCCTTCTAAACCCATCCCCCCTCCCCTCCTCCCTCCTCACGTTACCTCCAAGCCACGCCCCCTTCTAAACCCATCCCCCTCCCCTCCTCCCTCTACCCTCCTCACGTTACCTCCAAGCCACGCCCCCTTCTAAACCCATCCCCCTCCCCTCCTCCCTCCTCACGTTACCTCCAAGCCACGCCCCCTTCTAAACCCCCCCCCCTCCCCTCCTCCCTCCTCACGTTACCTCCAAGCCACGCCCCCTTCTAAACCCACCCCCCCTCCCCTCCTCCCTCCTCACGTTACCTCCAAGCCACGCCCCCTTCTAAACCCATCCCCCCTCCCCTCCCCTCCTCACGTTACCCCCAAGCCACGCCCCTTCTAAACCCATCCCCCCTCCCCTCCTCCCTCCTCACGTTACCTCCAAGCCACGCCCCCTTCTAAACCCACCCCCCCTCCCTCTACCCTCCTCACGTTACCTCCAAGCCGCGCCCCCTTCTAAACCCATCCCCCCTCCCCTCCTCCCTCCTCACGTTACCTCCAAGCCACGCCCCCTTCTAAACCCATCCCCCCTCCCCTCCTCACCTTACCCCCAAGCCACGCCCCTTCTAAACCCATCCCCCCCTCCCCTCCTCCCTCCTCACGTTACCTCCAAGCCACGCCCCCTTCTAAACCCATCCCCCCTCCCCCTCCCTCCTCACGTTACCCCCAAGCCACGCCCCTTCTAAACCCATCCCCCCTCCCCTCCTCCCTCCTCACCTTACCCCCAAGCCACGCCCCTTCTAAACCCATCCCCCCTCCCCTCCTCCCTCCTCACGTTACCTCCAAGCCACGCCCCCTTCTAAACCCATCCCCCCTCCCCTCCTCCCTCCTCACGTTACCCCCAACAAGCCGCGCCCCCTTCTAACCCCACCCCCCTCCCTCTGCCCTCCCCACGTTACCTCCAAGCCCCGCCCCTTCTACCCCCTCCCCCCCCCCCTCCTCACCTTTACCCCAAGCCACGCCCCCTTCTAAACCCATCCCCCCTCCCCTCCTCCCTCCTCACGTTACCTCCAAGCCACGCCCCTTCTAAACCCACCCTCCCCTCCCTCCTCACGTTCCCTCCAAGCCGCGCCCCCTTCTAAACCCACCCCCTCCCTCCTCCCTCCTCACGTTACCTCCAAGCCACGCCCCCTTCTAAACCCATTCCCCCCCCCCTCCCCCCTCTTACCTCCAAGCCACGCCCCCTTATAAACCCATCCCCCCTCCCTCTCCCCTCCTCACGTTACCTCCAAGCCGCGCCCCCTTCTAAACCCATCCCCCCCTCCCTCTACCCTCCTCACGTTACCTCCAAGCCGCGCCCCCTTCTAAACCCATCCCCCCTCCCCTCCTCCCTCCTCACGTTACCTCCAAGCCACGCCCCCTTCTAAACCCATCCCCCCTCCCCTCCTCCCTCCTCACCTTTACCTCCAAGCCCCGCCCCCTTCTAAACCCATCCCCCCTCCCCTCCTCCCTCCTCACGTTACCTCCAAGCCACGCCCCCTTCTAAACCCATCCCCCCTCCCCTCCTCCCTCTACCCTCCTCACGTTACCTCCAAGCCACGCCCCCTTCTAAACCCATCCCCCCTCCCCTCCTCACCTTACCCCCAAGCCACGCCCCTTCTAAACCCATCCCCCCTCCCCTCCTCCCACCTTACCCCCAAGCCACGCCCCTTCTAATCCCCCCCCCCTCTTCCCTCTACCCTCCTCACGTTACCTCCAAGCCACGCCCCCTTCTAAACCCCCCCCCCCCCCTCCCTCTACCCTCCTCATGTTACCTCCAAGCCACGCCCCCTTCTAATCTGTCAAGGAAGAATCATAGAATCATAGAATCAAACAGTTGGAAGAGACCTCATGGGCCATCCAGTCCAACCCCATTCTGCCAAGAAGCAGGAATATTGCATTCAAATCACCCCTGACAGAGAGAAAGAGGGAGGGAAAGAAAGAAGGAAGGAATGAGGTAGAAAAGGAAGAAGGGAGAGAAAGAGGGAGGGAAAGAAAGAAGGAAGGAATGAGGTTAGAAAAGGAAGGAAGGAGAGAAGGAAAGAAAAAGGGAAAGAAGAGGAAAAGGAGGAAGGAGGGAAAGTAGAGAAAGAGGGAGGGAAGAAAGAGAAAGAGAGAAGGGAAAGAGAGAGAGAGCAGAAGAAAAAGGAAGAAGGAAGGAAAGAGGGAGCGAAGGAAGGGGGAAGATGTAGAGAAAGAAGGAGGGAAGGAAAGAGAGAAGGAAGAAAAGAGACAGCAGAAGAGATAGAAAAAGGGGGAAGGAAAGAAAGAGATAGAGAAGGAAGGAAGAAGAGAAGAAAAGACGGGAAGGAAGGAAGGAAAAAGAGAGTGAAGGAGGGAAAGAAGGAGAGAAAGAGGGAAGGTTGGCCACAGCAAAGTGTGGGAGGTAAATAATAATAATAATAATAATAATAATAATAATAATAATAATAATGGCAATTACTTCCAGGTCTGTGAGGTCCTTCAGGCCTTCTCCACAATGAGTGCATCCCGTCTCGAAGGTCCAGCTCTGAGGGATGTAGTTCCCCAAGTAGTTCAGCTGCAGCTGTGAGCAGAGAGAGGAAGACCAATGGAAGGGGCCTCCAAAGGCCATCTAGTCCCACCCCATTCCACCAAAGCACCATTCAAACTCTCCCGACAGAGGGAAAGCAGGAGAGTCCTCTGAGTCTGCCCCTATTGCATTGAGATTGGAAGGGGTCCCCCAAAGGTCATCTAGTCCCACCCCATGCGGCCTACCTTGGTGGCTTCGTTGCCCTGGATCAGGACCGGGAGCGTATCGAAGGCCAGGTTCCTTGCTCTCACGTGCCTCGTTTCAAATTTCAGGACCACGTTGTCTTTTTAGGAAACATATATAATTTTATATATATATACATACATACATACATGTATATATATATATATATATATATATAATTTATGTATTTAAATGTAATTTGTATTTCACTATATATTATATTATACGATGATATTATATATATATACACACACACACATATGTGTAACATAATAATATATATATATAATACATATAATGTATACATGTATATTAGAGAGTAAGAGGCAGAAATAATATTACAATATGTTATATGTATGATATATATAATAAATCAATATGTATTTATTATAAACTATATTATACCATAAGTTATTATAAATTATATATATTATATTATATTAAATATATTATATTAAATATATAATATTATATTAAATATATATATATTTAATATAAATATATTAATATAAATATTTAAAATATATTAAATTTTATAATAATTAAAATATATTTAATATAAATATATTAAATATATTATATTAAATTATATATATATATATAATTATATTATACCATAATAACATTATAATATATAGTATAATATATGTGTGTGTATATATATTATAAATTTATTATATTTATGCAAAGATATGTATTAGAGAGCAGGAGGTACAAATAATAATATGTATGATATATTTTATATATATATTAATAAATACATGTTATTTTATATATTATGCTATAACATTATATAATATATAGTATAATATATATAATATAGTCATTATATTTTAATATATATGTAATACATATATATTAAAATATGTTTGTATATGTGTAAATATATATATGTTTATATATAATGTAGTATAATTTATTTATCGTGTCAGAAATGAATATAATATATAATATATAATATATTATATTATATATTATATTCATTTCTGACACGATAAATAAATTATAATATATATGCACACCTATTATATATCATATTCATCATCATATCATCATATCATATTTAATTACTTATTAATCGCCCTCCATCCAAGATGCTCTAGGTGATATTATATATATAAAATGAATATATATAATATATTTTATACTATATATTATATTATTTATTATCATGTCAGAAGCGAATGTAATATATAATATTATAATATATATTATTATATACATACACACACACATACACACAATCATATACATTATGAATATATAATTATTCTCACCGAGGGCACCATTGAGGTTTTGGAAGATGCGACACCTATGATCCAAAGTGATATTGAGGCTCTCCTGCCAAGGAAAAAGAAGCACAGAATTACAAGTTCAGCATAAGTTCGGCCATTCTTAAACTCACATTTGTTCTGTCCGCACTGCAGATTTACCCTCTTTTCTGGATCCAGGAAGACCTTGGTGTAAAAGAGCTGGTCGCTGGCGTTGTCAGGACCGGACCAATCCGCCAGCATTTTGCGGAGAAACGGGGCAGAACCGATAAACCCTGTAAATAATAATAATAATATTTATTTACTTATATCTGGCTTTATCTCTAAATATGTAAATACCAAGGTCCGCTCAAATGACATCCCAACAAACTGTAAATAATAATAATTATTATTATTATTTACTTAAATATGTAAATAAATACCAAGCTCTTCTCAAATGACATCCCAACAAATTGTAAATAATAATAATAATAATAATAATAATAATAATAATTTACTTATAGCTTTCTTTATCTCTAAATATGTAAATAAATACCAAATGACATCCCAACAAACTGTAAATAATAATAATAATATATTTATATTTATTTACTTATATCTGGCTTTATCTCTAAATATGTAAACAAATACCTCCGGATCCAAGGAAGCGGTTCCCTTCCCGAACCTGAGGATACTTGCTTTCCAGCCGTCGGTCCGGATAGATGAGACTCTCAGACGAAAAGACCACCCGGGATGCGGCCTGCCTGAATTTCTTGAGGATCTCTGTGGGTCCGGAGGCAAAGAGGGCATTGTTGCTGAAAAGAAAGGAAGGAAGGAAGGTTGAACCCAAATAGGTCTAGATGACCTCTGGGGGACCCACTCATTCTCTACTACCTTTCTGTGAAAAGGATGACCAAGTCCTCTTTGTCCGCATAGTCTTCTAAAGCCGCTTTCAAGAGGCGGACCTTCTGACCGCCTCCAAGGGGTTTCTGGCCGCCTTCGTCCAATCCTAAGACCTGAAATTAGAACGGAATAATAATAATAATAATAATAATAATAATAATAATAATGATAATAGCCAGCATAATGTTCTTGTTTGTTGTGTACTAATCTTCTAGTGCATCAAATAATGATGATGATGATGATACAACGCATTGCTTCCTGGACCTGACTTGTCTCTTCCATTTCCCCAGTGTCTAATAATAATAATAATAATAATAATAATAATAATAATAACAACAGCAACATATTTTTCTACCATTGTTGGGACTTGCTATATCTTACAATGCAATAATAATAATAACAATAATAATAATAGCAACAACAACAATATATTTTCTTCCAGTGTAGAAACTCAAGGTACCTAACAATAAAATAATAATAATAATAATAATAATAATAATAATAATAATAATAATAATAATATCTTTTTCTTCCAATGTAGAAACTTAAGGTAACTAACAATAAAATAATAATAATAATATCTTTTCTTCCAATGTAGAAACTCAAGGTAACTAAAAATATAATAATAATAATAATAATAATAATAATAATAATAATATCTGTTTCTTCCAATGTAGAAACTTAAGGTAACTAACAATAAAATAATAATAATATCTTTTCTTCCAATGTAGAAACTCAAGGTATCTAACAATAAAATAATAATAATAATATCTTTTTCTTCCAATGTAGAAAATCAAGGTAACTAACAATAAAATAATAATAATATCTTTTTCTTCCAATGTAGAAACTCAAGGTAACTAAAAATAAAATAATAATAATAATAATAATAATAATAATAATAATATCTGTTTCTTCCAATGTAGAAACTCAAGGTATCTAACAATAATAATATATTTTCTTCAAGTGTAGAAAAATATCTAATAATAATAATAATAATAATAATAATAATAATAATAGCAACAACAACAATATATTTTCTTCCAGTGTAGAAACTCAAGGTAACTAACAATAAAATAATAATAATAATATCTTTTTCTTCCAATGTAGAAACTCAAGGCAACTAACAATAAAATAATAATAATAATATCTTTTTCTTCCAATGTAGAAACTCAAGGCAACTAACAATAAAATAATAATAATAATAATAATTTTTCTTCCAATGTAGAAACTCAAGATATCTAACAAAAAGAATAATATATTTTTTCCAGTGTAGAAAGATATCTAATAATAATTATTATAATCATCATCATCATCATCATCATCATCATCATCATCATCATATAATGACTGATCTGATGATGATGATAATATTTTTCTCCCAATGTAGGGACCCAAATAATAAAATAATACTAATAATATATTTTTCTTCCAATATAGGAACTCAAGGTATCTAATAATAATAATAATAATAATAATAATAATAATAATAATATCTTTTTCTTCTAATGTAGGGATTTAAGGTATTTAATAATAATAATAATAATAATAATATATTTTTCTTTCAAGGTAGGGACTCAAGGTGGCAAACAATACAACAACAACAACAACAACAACATTTCTCCCAACGTAGGGAGTCAAGGTGGCAAATAAAATAATAATAATAATAATTTTTCCAGTGTGAGAATTCAAGGTATCTAATAATAATCTTTTATCCCAATGTAGGGACTGAACATACCTTACAATAGTAATAATAATAATATTTTTTCTTTCAATGAAGAAACTCAAGGTATATAACTACAACAACAATAATTACCTTAATGTCATAATTGAAGAACTGAGCGGATCTTCGGAAACGTTGGAAGGCTTCCGTCTCCTCTGTGGCCACAGTCAAAACTAATAAATTATCTAAGCAATAAAGGAAGAATAACTACATCTGTATCCAATGGGTCTTCGATATCCATACATTAAAATTTATGAAATATATTTATTTAATGCATTGATTTCCCAGTCAATAATAATAATAATAATAATAATAACAATAATAATAATATAAATGAAATATATTTATTAAATTCAGTGACTTCCCAGTCTATTAAGAATAATAATAATGTAAATAAAATATATTTATATAATGCATTGACTTCTAAGTCTAATAATAATAAAATAATAATAATATAAAAATATATTTATGTAATGCATTGATTTCCCAGTCTCTTAATAATAATAATAAAATAATAATAATATAAATACAATATATTTATTTAATGCAGTGACTTCCCAGTCTATTATTATTATTAATAATAATAATAATAATAATAATAATAATAATAATATAAATAAAATATATTTATGTAATGCATTGACTTCTCAGTCTATTAAAAATAATAGAAATAAAATATATTTATGTAATGCATTGACTTCCCAGTCTAATAAGAAATATAAAATAATATAAATAAAATACATTTATATAATGCATTGACTTCCCAGTCTAATAAGAAATATAAAATAATAATAAAAAAATAAAATATATTTATGTAATGCATTGACTTCCCGGTCTATTAATAATAATAATAAAATAATAATAATATAAATAAAATCTATTTATTTAATGCATTGACTTCCCAGTCTCTTAATAATAATAATAATAATAATAATATAGTCTATTTATTTAATGCATTGACTTCCCAGTCTATTCATAATAATAACAATAATACAAATGAAATATATTTATATAATAGACTGATTTCCCAGTCTCTTAATAATAATAATAATAATAATAATAATAGTAATAGTAATAATATATTTATGTAATGCATTGACTTCCCAGTCTAATAATAATAATAATAAAATAATAATAACATAAATAAAATCTAATTATTTAATGCATTGACTTCCCAGTCTCTTAATAATAATAACAAAATAATAATAATATAAATAAAATATATTTGTGTAATGCATTAACTTCCCAGTCTTTTAATAATAATAAAGTAATAATAACATAAATAAAATCTATTGATTTAATGCATTGACTTCCCAGCCTCTTAATAATAATAAAATAATAATAATATAAATAAAATACATTTATGTAATGCATTGACTTCCCAGTCTATAATAATGATAATAATAATTTTAAATCTATTTATTTAATGCATTGACTTCTTAGTCCCTTAATAATAATAATAATAATAATAATAATAATAAAATAATAATATAAATAAAATATATTTATTTAATGCATTGACTTCCTAGTATCTTAATAATAATAATAATAATAATATAAATAAAATATATTTATGTAATGCATTGATTTCCTAGTCTCTTCATAATAATAAAATAATAATAACATAAATAAAATCTATTTATTTAATGCATTGACTTCCCAGTCTATAATAATGATAATAATAATATAAATAAAATATATTTATTTAATGCATTGACTTCCAAGTATTCTTATTAATACTAATATAAATGAAATATATTTATTTAATGCATAATAATGATGATGGTGAAAGCAAAACTTGCATGGCAATGAAAGTGGTGTCAAACTGGGTTAACTCTGCAGTGTGGATGATGCACAGGCAAGTTCTGTAAACTTTCTGCAAAAGTCCTGGGTATGATTTTGCAAAGTTGGCTTACCTTTTTTTGGCTTGGAGGAAGAAGCCAGCATCAGCAGGCAGAGCAGGGCTATTAAAGCAGCCATGGGTTGGCACTCCATCCAGGCACAACACTAATACATATATACACACATATAGATCTTATTTGTCGGAGGAGAAAAAGGGAGCCCCAAGCCCCGCCCCCTGCCACGCAAGAGATGAGTCCCCTCCCCTTTAAGGCCCGCCTCCTTCCCCTTTAAGAGGACACTGCAACACAAAAAGGGGCGGGGCCAAAAGAGACCAATGGGGAAATGACATTCTGAGCATGTCTCTCAATGAGAAAGGAGACTATTATTGTTGTTATTATTATTATTATTATTATTATTATTATTATTATATATTTCATTATGATATAATATAAATAATATACAATAATATTATTTATATTATATCATAATGATATATTATATTATAATAATATAATATTGCATTTACTCACCAATCTCATAATAATAATAATAATAATAATAATAATAATAATAATAATAATAAAATATATATTTTAATGTATGTAAGTCCCAGCCTATTATTATTATTATTATCATTATTATTACATTTACTTCCCAGCCTAATATTGTTATTACATTATATATTATATAATAATATGGCATTTACTCAACAATCTCATAATAATAATAAAAGTCCCTGTCTATTACTATTATTATTATCATCATTATTGCATTTACTTCCCAGTCTAATACTATATTATATTATTACATTATATATTACATACTAATATTGCATTTACTCACCAATCTAATGATAATAATAATAATGTAAGTCCCAGTCTTTTATCATTATTATTGCATTTACTTCCCAGTCTAATATAATAATATATTATATTATTACATTCTATATTATATAATAATATTGCATTTACTTACCAATCTCATAATAATAATAATAATAATATTATCATTATCATTATCATTACATTTACTTCCCAATCTAATAATATATTATATTATTACTTTATATATTACATAGTACATTGCACTGACTCACCAATCTCATAATAATAATAATAATAATAATAATGTATGACATTAAGTCCAGTCATGTCTGACTCTGGGGTGTGGTGCTCATCTCCATTTCTAAGCCGAAGAGCCAGCGCTGTCCGTAGACACCTCCAAGGTCATGTGGCCGGCATGACTGCAAGGAGCACCGTTAATAATAATAATAATAATAATAATAATAATAATAATAATAATGTATGTAAATAATAATAATAATAATAATAATAATGTATGTATATTATTGCATTTACTTTCCAGTCTAATATTATATTATATTATATTATATTATATTATATTATTTATTTATTATTTATTTAATACACTTGTATACCGCTAATATCTCAGCCTAAGTCGGCGACTCATTGCGGTTTACAACAATTAAAAACAATATACAATTTAAAACAACAACACATAGACAATACAAAATTATTGGGCCACCAATAATAATACCATGTATCTCGTCACTAAAATCACAGTCCAGAATTCGTCATCCATAATTAACCAGTCCTTAGTCCATAAAATTCGGTGATAACAAACTAACCGAATGCTTGTTTACACAACCATGTTTTTAATCTCTTCCGAAACACCATCAGCGAAGAGGCTGATCGTATCTCTATAGGGAGGGTGTTCCAAAGCCGAGGGGCCACCACAGAAAAGGCCCTGTCTCTCGTTCCCACCAGCCGCACTTGGGAAGCCGGTGGGATAGAGAGCAGGGACTCTCCAGAAGATCTTAGGGTCCTGGTGGGCTGATAGGCTGGTATAATATATATATATATATATATATATATATATGATAGGCTTATATAATATGACATTTACAACCCAATCTCATAATAATAATGTATGTAAGTCCCAGCCTATTATTATTATAATCATTATTATTATTACATTTACTTCCCAGTCTAATAATATATTATATTATTACATTATATATTACATAATAATATTGCATTTACTCACCAACCTCATAATAATAATAATAATAATATAATAATAATGTAAGTTCCAGTCTATTATTATTATTATTATCATTATTATTGCATTTACTTCCCAGTCTAATAATATATTATATTATTACATTATATATTATATAATAATATGGCATTTACTCACCAATCTCATAATAATAATAATAATAATAATAATAATAATAATAATAATGAAAGTCCCGGTCTATTATTATTATCATTATCATTATCATTACATTTACTTCCCAGTCTAATAATATATTATATTATTACTTTATATATTACATAATAATATTGCATTTACTCACCAATCTCATAATAATAATAATAATAATAATAATAATAATAATAATAATAATGTAAGTTCCAGTCTATTATCATTATCACTATTATTGCATTCACTTCCCAGTCTAATATATTATATTATTATATTAGACTGGGAAGTAAACACAATAATAGTAATAATAATAATAATAATAATAGTAATAATAATAAAAGACATACATTAAATATATATTTCATTAATATATTAATGGGAAGTATATGCATATTATTATTATTATTATTATTATTATTGCATTTATTTTCCAGTCTAATAATATAATAATAATATATAATACTATATTAATACATAATATTATAATATCATATACTATTATCATATGTGATATTATTATTGCATTTATTTCCCAGCCTAATAATATTATAATAATGTAATATAAATATACATTTATAATATCATATTAGTATTATATTATTAATCATATTAATATTATATATATGTATAATATTATTATTTATTTATTATTATATTATTATATTTATTTATATTATTATTATATTATATAATTATATTATATAATAAATATAATATAATTATAATATAATATATTATTATATTATATAATCATCATTACATATTATTATATAATATTGTATTATATGTTATTCTTTATTATATTATAATATTTTCATTATATTTTATTCTATATTATTATATTGTTCTATTATTATTATTATTATTATTATTATTATTATTAGATTACTATATATTACTCTTATTATTATTATATTATTATATATTATTATTATATATTATTATTGTTGTTGTTTTTTCGTTCAGTCGTCTCCGACTCTTCGTGACCTCATGGACCAGCCCACGCCAGAGCTCCCTGTTGGCCGTCACCACCCCCAGCTCCTTATATATTATTATTATATTATCATTATTATATTATTGTATTCTGCTATTGTATTATTATACATTATTTTATAATATGATGTTATTGTATAAAATTATTCTAAAATATATTGTTATATTGTTATAAGTATATATTTTATTTTGTTATTGTTATTATTATTATTACTATTATATTCTTGTTGTTGGAGGCATAATAACATCATATTATGATATAAAATAGAACAATACAATACTAGAATACAATAATATAATAAGGATATTAATATAATAATGATAATATAATAATGATAATATAATAATAATGGTAATATGATAATATTATAATATAATATAATAAAGATAGTAATATAAGAATCTCAATAATATAATAATATAATAATGATAGTAATATAAGAATAATATATAGTATATATATAATATATGATGTTATTGTATAAAATTATTCTAAAATATATTGTTATATTGTTATAAGTATATATTTTATTTTGTTATTATTATTATTATTATATTCTTGTTGTTGGAGGCATAATAACATCATATTATGATATAAAATAGAACAATACAATACTAGAATACAATAATATAATAAGGATATTAATATAATAATGATAATATAATAATGGTAATATAATAATATTATAATATAATATAATAATTAGTATATAATATAATATAATAATATAATATAATATAATGATAAATAATATATATAATATAATATAATAATATAATATAATATAATATAATAATAATATAAAATAATAATATAATAATGTAAATAATAATAATAAATAATAAAATAATATAATAATATAAATAATATATAATAAAATAAATATAATAATATAATATATAATATAATAAATGATAATAATGATAATATAATAATAAAATAATATATAATATAATATATAATTATAATAATAATATAATAATGTAATAAATAATTAATATAAATATAATGATAATAATAATAATATAAAATATAATATAATGATAAAATAATAATAATATAATAATTATAATAATATAATAATATATAATATAATAAATAATATAAATAATAATATATAAATTTAATATAATAATATATAAATAAAATAATATAAAATATAATAATATAATATAATAAATTAATATAATGATAATAATAATAATAAATATAAAAAATATTATAATTAAATAATAATATAAATAATATAATAATGATAATAATTAATATAAAAATAATATAAAATGATAATAATAATGATAATATAATAATATAATAATATAATAATAATAAAATAATGATAGTAATATAAGAATAATATATAGTATATATATAATATATGATATTATTGTATAAAATTATTATAAAATATATTCTAAGTATATATTTTATTATTTTTATTATTATTTAATATTATATTTTAATATTCTGTTATTGTATAAAATTATTATAAAATATATTGTTATATTGTTCTAAGTGTATATTTTGTTGTTGTTATTATGATTATGATTATGATTATGATTATTATATTCTTGTGGTTGGAGGCGGTCCTTGGGCGAGGGCTCCTCCCTTCGTGGCTTCCCAGCCGCGCGAGAAGGTGAGACACCGATCAGGCCGCGCGCCGAGCCGGGGCCTCGATTAGCAGCTCCAGCCGGGGGGCGTGACGTAGACCCCGGCTTGGCCACCCACCCTTCCCCCCCCCTCCCGCTCAGCACTTCCGGCCGGAGATGCGACGCAGCTGCGACGAGTAGGCCGCCAGCAAAGCCGGGGACTCGAGTATCTGCAGTAGCCGAGGAGTGTGATCGTTTGCCGAGCCCATCCCGCTCGCTTCTCAGCGTCTGATCCTCACGTGCAGGCCGCAAACGAAGCCGCGGACTGGAATAGCAGCCGTAGCTGGGGGCGGGAGGTAAAACCCGGCATCCTCCCCCCTTCAATTCTCCTCAGCGTTTCTTCGTTAGGCCGCAAA